AGACTGTAAGTGCGTGGAAAGTTTACGATTTTATGCTGGGGGAGGGGCTGGGATGTTGCACAGCCTGGGGGTAACATACGGGAGTGAGAAGGTCAAAATGGGAGAACCAGGGCATGGAAGAAAATTTCACTTCCTTCCCACTTGGGCCACCACCACCCAGCCCTACCCAATGAGTGTTGAAGTCCCTGTACTTTCCTTCTTTCTCCCGATTCTGGGGAGCCTCCTGCCAAGGCCACACAGGCTGCACCCTTGGCTGGGTCTAATGTGCAGCAGGCAGAACAAAAACAGACCTGTCCTGGAGAGATAAGCAGCTGATTTGGCAGGCACCAGAGCTGGTTGGTTTCCTCTTGGGCAAACCGATACCAGTGCCTAAGCCTTTGAAACACACCAGGCTGACAGATTGTCAGGCTTTTGGAGTCAGACATGCAGACATGCTCAGCAGTGCTGCCGGCTCTGCCAGATCTGGCCTCCTGGGGCTGGGGGGTGGCTCTCAGGAGCACGCCCTTCACCAGAGAATGGTCCCACAGGGGCCCCCTGTGTCTTGCCCATGACTGGGTCTTCAGGGCTTTGCACAGTGCCTGGCACATTAGGCAATCTGTAAATATTAGTTGAATTTGCTGTTTGAGTTTCCTGTTCCCTGGGACTTGGGCTAAAACCAGAAAAATGCCAAAATGTGGCGAGCAAGAAAGGAAACCATAGAGAAGCCAAGATGTGTGATAATGTACAGTTTCTCTGGGAAGCGTAAATAACAAACAAATATTTGGCATGTTGGATTTTGCCAATGTCTCACCAGCATGCACAGGTGTTAACTTCACTTTTTCTCAGAAGATAGTCATAAACAAAAAGCCACTGCTTCCTGAACTAACGCTTGGGAGATAGGCAGAACCCAGGAGGCGGATTTGTCATAGTTCTAGGCTTTGCTTCCAAGAATGGAGAAGGAGAGGTCACCACTTCATCCCCAAGCCCAGCACAGAGCTGAGCACACAGTGGGCACTCAGCAACCACGTGCAGGCTGAGGAGCGAGTCGTGTCACCCCTTCTGTTGAGATGCTTGCCCAGAGTTGTGGGTGGGCTTCTCTGTCTCCACCACTCCGAGAACCAGAACCACCCCCACCCCACCTTCCACTCCATCCTTTCCAGAGCTGAGCGCTGCTCTGGCAGGGCCTGTGGGCAGCTGACAGGCAGAGAGACGGCTGCTGGGCTCCTGATGCAGGTCAGCGAGCCTCCTGGGCCCCATCGACAAAGCTAGGAGGCAGCCATGCCCAAGCGCGGGGCAATGCCAGGCACCACCCCTGCCAGGCAAGCCTGCCACCCTAGCACTTTTACCATTTCAGATTATTTTCAAGGTGTGTTTGGTAGCCTGGAACAAACTTATTGCCTTAGAGGCAAACCCAACCCATAAATATTTGGGATTAATTATCTCTCCTTCGTTTGAGCCCAACGACCTCCTCAAATGTATATAAAGGGATTTATCTTGCATAGGTCTTCAGTTCCCTTCCCTCTTCCTCTGACTCTCGGTGTCCCTGCTTATCTCTCACACATTTGTCTTCACTGAGCTCCTCACCATGAACAGACAAGTCTGCAGGACATCTGGTGGCGGGAGCCAGGGCTTCTCCGGCCGCTCCGCTGTGGTCTCTGGCAGCAGCAGGATGAGCTGTGTGGCCCGCTCTGGGGGAGCTGGCGGAGGGGTCTCTGGGTTCCGGAGTGGAGCAGGTGGCTTTGGCAGTCGCAGCCTCTACAACCTGGGAGGCAACAAGAGCATCTCCATCAGTGTGGCAGGTGGTGGCTCCCGGGCTGGTGGCTTTGGTGGAGGGCGTAGCAGCTGTGGCTTTGGGGGCAGTTGTGGAAGTGGCTTTGGGGGAGGTTATGGAGGTGGCTTTGGTGGTGGCTTTGGTGGTGGTAGGGGAATGGGAGGTGGCTTTGGGGGAGCTGGTGGCTTTGGAGGGGCTGGTGGCTTTGGAGGAGCTGGTGGCTTAGGAGGAGCTGGTGGTTTTGGTGGTCCTGGTGGCTTTGGTGGTCCTGGTGGCTTTGGTGTGCCAGGTGGCTTTGGTGGGCCTGGTGGCTTCCCTGGGGGGATCCAGGAAGTGACTGTCAACCAGAGCCTCCTGCAGCCCCTCAATGTGGAGATCGACCCCCAGATTGGGCAAGTAAAGGCCCAGGAGCGGGAGCAGATCAAGACCCTCAACAACAAGTTTGCCTCTTTCATCGACAAGGTAGTGAAACTCTGACTTTGCCCTTATTCCTAGGCTGGGGACTTGGCATTTGACCTCTGGACACAGTGTTTAAATATGTCCTGGATGGGCCAGGCTACAAGGGAAGGATTCGGGCAGAACTCTAGGGTGCTGAGGGGTTGTCCACATAGGTAAGTGAGGGGAGTTGTGAAAAGAAAATGGTCCCCTGTTTGTACCCAAACATCATCGAATCTTGCCTGTCTGAACAAGTGAGTTCCCCACATGTTGCCTTATTTAGGCCTGGGCTGGCAGAGCTGGCAGCCCAAGGCAAGGGCCACGGCCACTGGTACGGATGGGGGCTTTCCAAACATGAGCTGTCCCCTGAGGCTCTCCAGGAGGCCTTTTCCCTACATGCTCCTGTGCCATGCAAGCAAAACTGAGGCCCTGGAGAAGGGATTAAGGAGGCGTAAGTAGAACCTTAGTCCCACAGGGCTACGGAGAAGTGGGCAACTTACTTTGCACCCCTACTCAACCTAGACAGGAAGAGAAGGGTGCTTGGTGAGCTTCTCCAGACCAGGACAGCTCACATGGGGCTGCCATTCCTCCGGGCTCAAGAGAGGTGCTGTCCTGCTGACTATGGTCAGCTAGTGTCATTTCCCAGTGATTCACAGCCTTCGAAGGGCTGGAGTGTCAGTGGAGTCTTAGGTGGAAATGATGCTGTTGAGGTCCATGTACATTTCTGCAGAGTGCACTGTAGTTTCAGAAGTTGGGATAGAGTCATGAAGTCCTCAGGAACAGCCGAGGGTCGTTTTTCCAATTCTCTTGCTTTCAGGCAAGGGCTGCTTCCAGTTTCCCCTGACCTTCTCTCCTTCCTTGGTAACTTTCCAAACCATTCTGTGTCGTTAGTGTTCTGACTGATCAACCATCTGACCATAATCTCCCCAGCTGTAGTAGGAGCCTCTTTGCCTCCTGTCTAGGCCTTTGCGCTGGGTGACCACAGGATACAGATACCCAGTCCTCCCTGAACTAAAGCCCTCTTCTCTTCTGCTACAAGTGCTGCCTGATGTTGCTGTCCCCAATGCATTGTAGGTGCGCTTCCTGGAGCAACAGAACAAAGTCCTGGAGACCAAGTGGAACCTGCTCCAGCAGCAGGGCACAAATTCCATCACAGGAACCAACAACCTTGAGCCTCTTTTTGAGAACCGCATCAACTACCTGCGGAGCTACCTAGAAAGCATCCTGGGGGAGAGAGGCCGCCTGGACTCAGAGCTGAGGAACATGCAGGACCTGGTGGAGGACTTCAAGAAGAAGTGAGTGACAGGGCAGGAGTGGGATGATGCTATGGGCCATTCTGTCTCAGAGTCCCAGCCCTTTCTACATTCCTTCTGACTGCTGGGCAATGTGTCACCTGGCCTGTTCCCCTCTCCTTGCCTTTATGGAGGACAGCTTGGTTCAGTTAGGTTCCCCTTGTCTCACTTCTCCAGGTATAGTCCTTTACAAATAAAGTTGTGGAAAAAGAAGGATGAGTTTAGAGTTGAGGAAGCACTTTCTCATGAGCCAGGTTGGGGAAGATCCTGGTTCTAGGATCAGAAAGATTCTGAGCCAACTCATGGTACTGTGACCAACCAGGAGGTCTGCCTGGGACTGACAGGTTTCCCAGGATGCAGAACTTTTAGTGCTGAAACCAGGACAGTTTGCCTGGGCCAATTGGGATGGTCGGTCCCCCTAACTAATAGGGAGGTATTAAGAGGATGTGTTCACCTTAGAGCAGCGGGATAGGGATGCAGGGGTGGAAGAGATGAACTTCCAGGGCTTCAGGGAACAGTGGTGTTCACTACTACCTTAAAATCAAACTCAGCTATTTCTTTCACTCTGACAGATATGAGGATGAAATCAATAAACGTACAGCTGCTGAGAATGAATTTGTGACCCTGAAGAAGGTAAAGGCTGTGTGTGAGGTTTCCGGGCTAGGGGCCGCAGGTTTCTGGCTGGGTTGGGGGAATCTCCTTACTCCACTGCCGAAGAGCTGCCAAGTTCAGGCCTTTGGAGCAATGGACGGAAGCTAGGTTCTTCTTAATCTGGAAGATCCCTGAAAGAGTCAGTTTATTAGTCTTTAGCTTTTCAGTGGGATTAAACATAAACCATCCCAGTGAGATGTAAATCGCCCCTTCACGTGGAGACCAGTGTTGGACAAGGACCATCACCAGCACTGGTCCTCCCTGGCTCTTTTTCACTGCATTTGCAGTTTGCTGTTTGTTCCTTGGGGGAATAGGGCCTTTATGTGCCTGTCTTCTCAGGATGTGGATGCCGCGTATATGAACAAGGTGGAGCTTCAGGCCAAGGTGGATGACCTGATGGAGGAGATCAACTTCTTGAGGACCCTCTATGATGCGGTGAGGATGTTACCTACTAAGAGGCAAGGGAGGGTGAGAGGTTTCCAGATTTTAGGCTGGCGCATTTTGGTGTCTAGACCCCAGAAGGCTATCTGGAATGAGCCTAGAGATGAGGCCCCCTGGCAGGGATCCTGCAGGATGGGATGCAGACCTGGAGTTCTCTGAGTGGCTGGGGCAGGGTGGGCAGATGCACATTCAGAGCTAGAGTCAGTGAATGAAACCACTGATTGGGCATCTTCCCAGGCCTCTGTGTGCTTGTTGCAGAGACCCTGAAAGTGAACAGGCTCCCTCCGTGTTGGCAGGAGCTGTCCCAGATGCAGAGCCATGTCAGTGACACATCCGTGGTGCTGTCCATGGATAACAACCGCTGCCTGGACCTGGACAGCATCATAGCTGACGTCCGTGCCCAGTATGAGGACATTGCCCAGAGGAGCAAGGCTGAGGCTGAGGCCCTGTACCAGACCAAGGTGGGCACTAGGCACCTCTTGGAGGAGCCAAGGGAGGTCTCAGAGGCTATGGCCTATGGGACAGCTGGGTGGTGAGTTCCCAGTGGTCATTGGTGAACCCCTCTGTGTTCTACCCTCTGGAGACATCCCTCTAATGGTTGTTCAGCTGCAGAAAATCTTTCCCCCGGGGTGGAGGTGGTGGGATGGACTCTAGCTTGCTCAGGGACTGCAGGGCAGGAAAATCTTCTACTACAACAACCCAGATATTCTCTTCCCTAATGCCTTGGAGGTGTCCCTGCTGAAACACAATTCGGTGTCATTTTAGCAAATGCTTACTGAACTTCTCAAGGTTTGGGGGTGATGGTGGGGTTACAGAAACAAGTCAGGCAAAGCTGCATCAATACCACACCTTCCCTTCTGTTCTAGTTAGGAGAGCTACAGACCACGGCTGGCAGACACGGGGATGACCTAAGGAGCACCAAGAGTGAGATTGTGGAGCTCAACAGGATGATCCAGAGGCTGCGTGCAGAGATTGAGAACATCAAGAAGCAGGTGGGATGGCCACGGATGCTCGTGCCTGGGCTGACTGGTGAGGGCTGGGGGCTAGGATCTCAGGACTCTTAGTCCAGAATGGACTTCTGAAGGTCATCTCAGGCAGCATCAGCTTCCAGGGAGTTCAAAGACCAAGCCAGTGTAGATGGCTAGCTAATCCATGGGACAATATCTCCACGGATGGAAACAAGATAGTGGTGCTAGGGGAGGGGGAATGCTCCCTGACTTTAAGATGGAATAATTCATTGTAAGATGCAGAGGGCCTGGGACCCTCTTACCGTGCTCATTCCGTCTACCTCCTGCCCCAGAATGCCAACTTGCAGACAGCCATTGCAGAAGCTGAGCAGCGTGGGGAGATGGCCCTCAAGGATGCCAACACCAAGCTCCAAGAGCTGCAGGCTGCCCTACAGCAGGCCAAGGATGACCTGGCCCGGCTGCTGCGTGACTACCAGGAACTGATGAACGTCAAGCTGGCCCTGGACGTGGAGATCGCCACCTACCGCAAGCTGCTGGAGGGTGAGGAGTACAGGTGAGCCTCCAGTCCCATCTCCCCACATCCTCTGACCCAAGCCACATCAAGGGCCAGATAAGTGACCAAGTAAATGGGGATGGAGGCCTGCTGTGTAAAGACAGGCCCCCATCTTCCACGGGCCTTGCAGAGAAGCACTTGTCTCCACCAGCCCACTCCCTCCACAGGTAGCCAAAGCGCATATGCACCCAGTGCTTACAGGGTCTCCTTGTTACGGCCCATAGAAGGGTGAAGAAAGTTTACTGACCTGCCAGGCTTCTGGGTTCAGTTCCAGTTGTTATTCATCACCTGGATCTGTGGACTTGTTGGAGATGTGCTTTGTGATGGAGCTATATTTCTCTTGCTTTCTCAAACAGGATGTCTGGAGAGTGCCCGAGTGCTGTCAGCATCTGTAAGTAGCCAAAGTAGCTGTGACAATGAGAGTTAATTCTGAAATATCTGCACTAACACAGGGACATAGCTACTAATTTAAAAATATTCCTATGGAAATTGGAGGGGTGTTCTGAGAGTTGAGGAACAGTGGATTGGCTTTTGCAATTGTTCTGGATTCAGGACACTTTTTTTTTTTTGAGACAGAGTCTCGCTCTGTTGCCCGGGCTAGAATGCCGTGGCATCAGCCTAGCTCACAGCAACCTCAAACTCCTGGGCTCAAGAGATCCTTCTGCCTCAGCCTCCCAAGTAGCTGGGACTACAGGCATGTGCCACCATGCCCGGCTAATTTTCTCTCTATATATTTTTAGTTGTCCAGCTAATTTCTTTCTATTTTTTTAGTAGAGACGGGGTCTTGCTCTTGCTCAGGCTGGTCTCGAACTCCTGACCTTGAGCGATCCGCCTGCCTCGGCCTCCCTGAGTGCTAGGATTACAGGCGTGAGCCACCGCGCCCAGCCTCAGGGCACTTTTAATAGGTCTAGGTGGCCGATTGGGAATATCCAATAGGGAGCCCTCAATGGGAAAAGAAATTCCAAGGCTGGATAACCTCCAAGGGATTCATCAAGAGTCGGGTACGTAGGAGGAACCATTGGATAATTTATAACGACGTAACACCATGGGGGTTAGAATGGCTCATGGTGGTCATCAGGTGCAACGCAGTCGTGATCCCGACCATCCTGGGCCCAGGGGGTCATTGGCTAATTCCAATGGGGCGCTGATCGCTGTCCCGTCCTCTCTCCCTGCAGCCGTGGTCAGCAACAGCAGCACGACTTCCGCCTCGGCAGGTGGTTTCGGAGGAGGCTACGGTGGCGGCTTGGGAGGCGGCGCAGGCAGCGGGTTCGGCCCGGGCGGCGGCAGCGGGTTCGGCGGCGGCAGCGGGTTCGGCGGCGGCAGCGGGTTCGGAGGCGGCAGCCGGTTCGGCAGCGGCGGCGGGTTCGGCGGCGGCGGTGGGTTCGGCAGCGGCAGCGGGCTCGGCAGCGGCGGCGGCGGTGGGTTCGGCAGCTGCGGCAGCGGCTTTGGCTCCGGCTCCGGGGGTCGCTGTGGAGTCAGTGGCGGAGGCTTCAGCTCCGGCAGCAACCGGGGCGGCAGCGTCACGTTCTCCCAGTCCTCCCAGCGCTGCTCCAGATAAAGAAGGCGCCTCAGCACCGCAGCCAGCCCAGCGCCTGCCGCCCCGTCGCTCCCCGCCATCGGCAACACCCCAGCGCCATGCCCCTGTCCCCCAAGGGAGCGGCTCTTTGTCGCTGGAAAGCTAGGGGCCTCTTGCTCCTCCATCCAGATCCCCCGCCAAGCCCAAACACGAGAATTTCACACTCTTCCTTGCGGCTCCAGCCTGTGCCTGTGATTGTCTGGGTGTGGCCCCAGCCACCACCTTCTGCTGCCCTTGGGGTCCCCTGCCTGGGTGGGGTGGTCAGCATGGCTCTGATGTATTTAACACGCAGTCCCCTCTGCCCACCAGCCTCCCCAATAAAGTGCACTGTTTCACACCAGGCTCTGAGCATTCTCTCCACACGCTTTTCTCCCCACTGGACTGACTTCTGTGGTCACCGCCCCTCCCACCTCCCTGCCCTTTGCCTCTGTCACTTGGGCACTGTGGTGTGCACAGCACCCAGACTACTGTTGCTCTGAGACCAAGGCAGTTCCTCCCCACTGTCCATTGTGAGATCTGTCCATTTATTCTTTGAGCACCGTGGGGAGGGTGTGGGTTGCTCCAGGAGGCTGCGGGGCCTGACGGTGGTTAGGGCAGGAAAGCTGGGCCATGCAGACACCTATTTCCTCCCTGCTCTCTCTCACTGGGGACTTAAGAGGGACTTGGAGACAGAGGGATTCTTCCCTTGTCCCCACTCCAGCTGACATCTTAAAATCTTTTCCATGTCCAAGTGCACCTAGGAAAGTGTGAGCTGCTAGAACCCCAGGGCTGGAGGAGTTTCCCGAGAGAGCATCCTGTTTCCAAGTCTGATCCATGAACACCAGTCCATTAAGACACTCTGCAATAAAGGGTTCATGCCCATTAAGTCTTCTCTTTTTGGAGCACATATTAGAGTTTCTAAAAAGTTCTGTAGCAAAGAAAACCTGTTAGCTTTCTTTAATCCAGCATTTCCCACAGAGGGCCCCCTTCCTGGGAAACAGCTATCAACAGTCCTGAGAGAAAAACTCAGCACCTGAGCATGGACTGCATGCACTTGGGCCTCCATGTGTGCGCACCAGCCACGAAAGCTCAGTCATCCTGGCCTCTGCCCTGCACAAGAAGCCTGATAAAGTGTTAGTTGGCCATGGGAGGGCTGTCCAGAGGATCACTGCTGAAAAGGACTGAGGAGTAAGGAGTCCAAACCCTCCATTTGCAAATGAGAAGACTGAGGCTCAGAGAGGTGGAATGACTCACTTAGGGTCCTGGAGCACATGAAGCCCTGTGCTAGGAGTGGATCCAAGTATCCTGAGTCCAGGGCTCCTTCCGCTTCTTCACACTGTCACGGGCTGCAGGTGCTGGCTTCCAGGCACGCCATGCTGCCTGGGAACCCAGAGAGAACATCGGGCTGTGGCATAGAAATGTCTAGTCAGGCCAGGCCAGGGAAGCAGTATTTCCATCCTAGCCTGAAGATGAATTTATTTCTGTGATGGGTAATGGCCGCTAAACAGAGAAACCTGCACTGGGAGTGGAGGAGATTCAGTACAGAGATCCAGCTGCTGGTTCCGCTGATGACCCAGGAAGGCTTGGTGAAGCGGGTGGGGTTTAGTAGCTGCCGCCTCATTTTTGGGCAGGAATGTGCCTTTTCTGGTTGGTGTCCCTCTGTGGAAAAGGGTAGGAGACATAGGTGGGACCCAGTGGAGGGCTGGCCCTAGGGGAGCACGCCAAGCCAGTCGTGGGGCAGCTGCTTCGCTTTGGACAAAGCCGTTATTAATGAATTCCTTCCTCCACTCATTCAACCGATATTCATTCAGCATCTGTCCTCTGTCTGGCATGAGGCTAAATTCCGGAGATGAACTGGTGAACAAAAATGAGACTCCGACCCCACTCTCATAAGAGAGGCTGACCAAAAAAAGTAAACAAATAAACGAATGACGTAATTATAAGTTGCGATAAGTATGTGAGGAAATCAGGGGCTGAGTTGGAGAAATGACAGGACTTGTTAATGCACTGGATGGTGTGGGAGGAGGTGTAAGGGGAAAGGAAGCATCAGCCATAATGCTTGGTTTCCCAGTGTGGGCAACTGGGTGGCGGGTGGTACAATTCAGCGAGGTGAGAGGAGGGTGGGAGGGTGGGCCGCTGTGAGAGGAACCCCAGGAGCTCTACTTGAGAAAAGGTGGAGCTGCTCATGAGACAGCCCTGGGGGGTGTCTGGACTGCAGCTGGAGACGTGAGCGTGGACTCAGAAGGGAGTCCCGCCAGGGCTGGAGACACACCCAGACCTCATCAGCACAGGGGTGGTTAGGGGACTGATGGGTTCTTCTGGAAACAGGGAAGAGAAGAGGGTCCAGGCTGAGCTCCAAGGAAGCCTGGCACGTAGAGTCAGGGAGAAAAGCACGGTCAACTATGCAATAGAGCCTGGCCCAAGTTTTCTAGAATGCCTCCACCTGAGAAGTCAAGGGATTTCTAAAGTGGCTCCAAAGAAAGCTCAGGGCAGGCCTAGCCTTTCTTGAGTCTCAAATCTCACATTCAGACAGTGGGCTCTGTCCTTTGTTGCTCCTCCCTGGACTCTAACCCAGTGGTCCCCAGCCTTTTTGGCACCAGGGACCAGTTTCATGGAAGGCAATTTTTCCACAGACTGGGGGCAGGGGATGGTTTCGGGATGATTCAAGTGCATTACCTTTATCGTGCACTTTATTTCTATTGTTATTACATTGTAATATATAATGAAATAATTATGCAACTCACCATAATGCAGAACCTAATGCCACTGCTGCTCTGACGGGAGGTGGAGCTCAGGTGGTGATGCGAGTGATGGGGAGTGGCTGTAAATACAGACAAAGCTTTGCTCGCTTGCCCACTGCTCGCCTCTTGCTGTGTGGCCTGGTTCCTCACACACCACTGACCAGTACTGGTCTGCGGCCTGGGGGTTGGGGACCACAGTTCTAACCTATGCCCACAGGTCCTTGTTCATCCTATGGGGGTTTATAGGAGCCCCCGCTACCTAAACAGTCCTCTAGTGGTAGGGTGGTGGGGTGGGGCTCCATGCACCTTCTTAAAGGAAAGCCTGGCTCAGGAGGAATGGGGTGGTGGAGTGGGCTATTTGTTGGAGGTGTCATTATTCCAGAAGAATGTCCAGGGCAGCTTACCTTGGTGCCAGGACCTGAGACCCGAGGAGTAAACTCCATGCTTGGCTGAATATTCTCAGCCCAGCCCTGAAAACATCTTCCATTTGCAGGGAACTTGACCTGGAATCTGAGTACTGCTTCTCTTCCTTTTGCTTTAGCATTTACATAATTTCTTTGTGCAATTCTGTGTTGATTTTCAAGTGCTCTTAAGTTGTTGGGCTTGGGTTGCTTTCTTGTACTTGAATAGACTTTTCATTCTTCAAGGAGGTAGTCAGTGGGTGCTGTGTTGTCCACCCTTTTCCTGTCCTCCAAGGCATGCTTTTTGCCCATAGGGAGAACTCACAGTGATTGTTGGATGATGCCTACTTATATTCCTGGGTCCTAAACTGGGATTTGAGGTCATTAGTTAATGGTCAATAAGTTATTTTCTCTCTCCTCCACATCTCTCTTCCTTAGGTGTGGAGTGGTATGTCTACCTGCAATGACACAGAGGAACCAATTTCTATCCCCCACCCTCCTCTATCTGCCTACTCCCCCACTTTATCCCCGCCATGGGAAGGAATGCTCAATAGAGCACCTTCCTATTCTAAGAGCTTGTGGACTCACTGGTTCCCGCTTGATGTTAAGGAGACCAAGGTATGGTTTTAGATTTCAGGTTATTTCCTTCCATCTCTTTCTGGGATACGGTCTATACAGGTCAGAACACGTATCAATGGTGATGGTGACACAAACACCAAAGGTTCAGTTAAAGAATTCAAGGGAACGTTTCCCACAAGAATCTGGAAGGAGTTCAGCATCTGCCTGTGGATGATCCAGACTTAACTGTTGATGAGAAAGTTTTGGGTAATTTGTAGGTAAATCTCTACGTGACTCTTCTCTGTTTTGTCTAGAGCTGGGAAGGGCTTTTGTCAGCCAAGGATCAGAGATCTCATCTTCTGGGATCTGGACTGCCCCATCTCTCTGCCTTCTCAGCACTTTGGCCCAGGTGCATTCTCCCTTTGTTGGCAAGGACCAGAAATGTGGACGCCTTGCAATAATTGTGGGATAACAGAGGAAAACTCATATTCTGAAAACACTTCTTCACGTATTTTGCCTGTATCTTGCCAATATCCCTCGCCAGCCCTCCTGGCATGCAAACTGCCCAATGCACATCCCTGTCGTGCCTAAGATCAAGCTAATCACCACCAACCTTTCCAACTTAGGCTGGAGGCTGAAGGCGTGTCACTTCTTCTAGGGAACCATTGATGGAGGTGCGGTGGGAGTGATTGGATACCTCTGGAATTCACGGTGACATGACTGAATGGTGACAGCTCCATTAACCTCTGGAGAAGATGGGGACAGGAAAGGATGGCTCTAGATAACAATAAAACTGTGGTTCTCATTGGGGGCAAATTTTGCCCTCCCCCCCTGGGAACATACGGTGATGTCTGGTGACACTTTTAGTTGTCACAATTAGAGGAGCACTACTGGCATCTAGAAGGTAGAGGCGTGGATGCTGCTACACATCCCACACTGCACAGGCCAGCTCCTTGAATAAGGAAACAGCCAGCTCAAAGTGTCCACGGGGCTGCCGCTGAGAGACCCTGCCCCGAAGCAAGAGGCTATCTTATTTACCCTCTTCCTGGAGAGGCTCTTTAGCTACAGTGATACTGGTTACAGCTGAGCTGAATAGGGTGCGTGCAGTACATGTTTTTAGAAGTTTATTTGTTTTAAAATGGAAATGCTCTTTTATTCTGCACAAAGACACAGGAAACAAGCCAGGCAAAGTGTGACCTTATGTGGGGACTTTTAAGACCTGTGTAATGACCTGGGGGGTACTTGCAATTCTCGTATAAACCTGGCTGTTTTATGCCTCCGTGCTTTGATGCTCTGTTCCCTTTGCCAGAATGCTCGTCCCACCTTCACTCGCTTGGCTCATCATTGAAGATCACTCAGGCACTGCCTCCTGAATCCTTGCCCAGACACCTCACGTGGCCTTGAACGTCTGTCTGGGCTCCCATGGGGCTTCGTTTACTACTGTTTGTCATGTGCCATGGTATATTAAAATGCTAGTTTCAGTGTGTGTTCTCCACATCAGAATGGAAGTTACCTGAAGGGACGGGTGGATGCTTTGCACATGGCAGGCACTGTGACTTGCATTGACCTAATGAGATCTTGAAAAGGGTAGACTCTTCAATGCAATTGCTGTCCTGACATATTTA